GGTGGTGGCAGGAAGACTGGGAAGAAGTCAGCCTAGGAAAAAGATCATGAACCTCCTCACTGCCCAAAGCAGCCCTAGAGTGGCACTGTGCTAGATCCAGGCACTGAGCCAGCTGCTCAGCACAAGAACTCATCGAACTGGCATCGCAGTCCTGCAGTGTGGGGATGAGTAGCCCACTCCCAGATGGGATCACTGACGTTAGGTAACCCGTCCAAGGTCACACATTTGTGGGGAGGTCAGCCAGACTGGGGACATCTGATTCCACACTACACTTTTTCTGTTATACAACAATGTCTCATTATCATTCAGAGGAATCGTGAGTAGAGGTCATAAGACTCAATACCCGTTCAAAGACCATTTCTAACACTTACTACCTACATAACCTCGAGCAAGGGATTTAACCTTTCCAAGCCTTTATTTCCTCATCTGTGCAATGAAGATTAAAAATAATCAGGGCTGTTGTGAGGATTAAATCTTAAAATATGTGAACACTGTTAACTCAGTGCCTGGCACAGACAGCCATGGTGGTATGGTAGAGAGAGTGAGAGGGGGCAGGCGGAACTATGCTGCCAGCTTTGGTAGCTGCCGGTTTATATGTAGAAGCATCCATACCCATGACTGATCCATCAGTGCTAAAGTGCCAGAAATGAGAGAACCCATGCTCTAGGACTATACTGTCCAATAATATAGCCACTACCTCTATGATGCCAATTGCATAAAAATTACATAAAATTTAAAATTCAGTTCCCCGGTCACACTAATGTTTTAGTCACATGATGGTAAGGGCTACCATGCGGGACTGAGGCAATTTGGACTATTACTATATTCATAGAAAGTTCTATTTGGCAAAAATGAGTCTAACATAGAAGCCAGCATAGGGACCTCCAGGGAGTTCATTCGAGAAAATGCAGCGTCTCAGGCCCTGCCCCAGACCTGCTGAGCCAGAAGCTGCAATTTTTGTTGTTGTTAATCCTCACCTGAGGGTATTTGTTCCATTGATTTTTAGAGAGAGTAGAAGGGAGGGAGAGAGAGAAAGAGAGAGAGAGAGGGGCCCCATATACCCCAACCAGGGCCTGGGGATCGAGCCTGTACCCCAGGTACATGCCCTTGACTGGAATCAAACCTGGGATCCTACAGTCCAGGGGCCAAAGCTCTATCCACTGAGCAAAACTGGCTAGGGCCAGAACCCGCATCTTAACAAGAGCCTCCAATGATTCATAGGCACATTAAGGTTGAGAAACATGAGTCTGGAGTCAAAAGGCTACCTGGCGTTTACCTGGCGAATCCCTCCTATTCGGAATGCCCAGGCAGAAGGGACATGCAGGGAATGGGACAGAGACACACCCTCATGCAGCCGCCTTGCTCTCAGAAGTACCTCGTAAAGCCCTACTGGGGCGTAAAAGAGCGCTTCCCCCTGCTGACTCTGGACAAAGGAGCTGAAGTCCCCAGAAATCTTCACACTAGACCCGTGGCTGTTGTTCTCTCTTGACACAGGTGTGCCCCTCCGGGCTGGCTGTAAGACAGGACACATCCAGGAGTTAATGTGGTTCTGAAGATAACTAGATGCTTTCCATAAAACACAGCACAGGTGTGCCCCTCTGGGCTGGCTGTAAGACAGGACACATCCAGATGCTCCCAATAGCAGGAGCAAGTAATGGAGAGACTGCACATTGTAGATGAGGAAAATGAGTATCAAGGTCACAGTTCATGAGAGCATCAAGGACTCGAACCCTGATCTCTCTGACCATAGGTGTGAGTGCCTGACTGCTACACACATCACTCTTGTGCCTGTACCACCATGAGTAGGGCCATGGCTAAGAGGGCAGGGTCTAGGTCAGACTAACTGAGTTCAAGTTCTGGCTCTGGCACCTAACCACATGTGTGACCTGATTCTGGAGCTATTTTCCTAAATAAGCATCTAACCCTGTCATCTCTTTGTGTAATACCCCCATCACCTTCCAACACCTAGAGCAGCCTTCCCAATGCTGAAACACTGAATCCCCTCTGTCTTATCATGTAGACACCTCTCTGATCACTTGCCTCCCCTCAGTGTATCCCACACCATGAGCTGTTTGGCCTCCAGTAGATGTGCAACCCATGTGTGTTGAGCAAATGAGCCTTATTGTCTTAGTCATCAGTAGATTAAAAGAGTTAATGTAGTTCTGAAGATAACTAGATGCTTTCCATAAAACAGCTTTACTATTTGAGCTTACACCACAGGGTAACAGATCTAAAGGGAACTTTAGGGGACCACCTGATCATTCTAAGTACTCAGTAACTGAGGCCAGACATGATGTTCCCAGATATTCAGCAAGGAAACGGTAGGCCTAGAGCCAGAACTCGGGGCCTGAGACTCTCTGTTAAGTGCCCACTTTATAAATGAGTTGGCCTCTGTTCTCATAAGCTCCTGGAGGAGGTCCCTTCCACAGATCACCAGGAGTTAGCAAGGAAGTGGACATCCGGGGCAGGTGTGGCCTTACCTTGTCCTGGGGCAGAATAGTGATGGCGTTATAGTCGATTTGCCACCAAATGTCTCCATTGTGCCTCTGCAGTTTTCCCTTCTGGATCCTTAAAATCAGACCTATGATGGCAGCTCCCAAGACAGTGACCAGGAAGGTCATCAGGAGAATCAGAACAGTCACACCTGGAGGACACGGACATATCATTACTCAGGCTGCCCGAGAGCGGAAGTGAGAACATCCCTGTCCAGCCTGGCGCTGCCAAGCAGATGCCTCAAAGGCCACCTCGGGATGGCTCTTCCAGGAATGCTTTCTGACCTTCCTCTGGTTCCCATGGCAACTGTACTCACTTCTTCCTCTGTACAGACACTTTCATGGTACAGAAATCATAGTCAGGATTTCTAATACCACCACATGTTATTATTAAGCATTTGCTATGTCCTCTCCTCATGGTTGTTTCTCAGGTATGATCCATCTAATTCCAGGGCTGGACCCCTAACCATCGGGCAACACTCCCCTGTCCAGACTTTCTACCTCCTTAGAAATGAAGTTCCTGAGCTTTAAATCTCAGGAGCTGGGTTTCCCTAGAGCAGAGGTTCCTAACAGGGCAGGTGGTGGGCGATGTTGCCTCCCTCGGGGATATTGGTAGCATGTGGTGATACTTTGGGTGGTTCCAACTAGAGGCTACCACTGGCATCTAATGGGTGGAGGCAGGGATGCTGCTAAGCAGTCCCCAAAGCACAGGACAGTTCCCCCGCCCCCCAACAAAGATTATCCCACCCAACATGTCAATAGTGCTGTCACTATTGAAAAGCCCTGCTATGGAGAGTCCTTATTGCTACCTTCTCCAGGAGCCCATACTGACCTGTAAAAGCAAGCTCACTTTCACAGAGCTCATCGTCAAATCCACAGCCAGGTCTGTCTGCAGCAAGCGAGCCATGGGGCCAAGTAATAGTGGAGAAATTCCTCACGGGTCTTAAAAAAAAAAAAAAAAAGATGATTGAAGGCCAGTGCCCATTTGATTGATTCTATTTGTCTCAACCTCAGGTATAGCAAGGGCAAATGAAATACACATGTCATTTGCAAAAAGTAGGCCTTGGTCTCTCAATTCAAATGTCCACTGACCCATCCAATTTTCCCACCTCACCCAGGCTCTTCGAATCCAGCCTCCAGGTAATCTAATTCATGGAAAAGCGATATCTTTTTGCAGAGTAGAACCACTGACTCAATCTTCTGATGTAAACCATGTCATTTCTGATTTAAAAGATGCGGTGCCAATTCTCCAGTGTTGCTGGGACTCTCTCCCGTGTTTGATATAAACAAATCTTGTTATACAGCACCTTGACATTTCACAGAGCAAAACGTCTCCCCCTGCGTGGAGAATGCCCGTTTCCACAATCCTGAAGACCTAGTCCTCCGTGGTTAGTTTCTTTCCTGGGTCAACCCACTTTGATACATTAAAAATCCTTAAGAGTAGGAGAGGAAAACGTGTCAAATCAAATCTGCATTGGGGGTGGTGACGGTGGAGGCCAGTAGAAATTGAATTAAGCTTTAGGTTTCCTTTCAGTTTTCTCAGTTATTGCTGAGTGATGAAAACAGAGACTTTTTCCAGAGCTTCCTGGATACCAGGGATACCCAGGTCCTGCTGTCCACAGGGCTCTCTGTTTTGGAGTCAGGCTGACTGGAGGAGTCTGTTTCCCTGACTGAGCTCCCATCCCTCTAGGGAGCGCTGTGCTCCACCACCACCTGGTCCAGGGCCTCTCTCTGAGACCATGGGCCAGGTGATGTTCCCTGCTGGAGCAGCAGAGGAAGCCTGGGCCCCTGCGGAGGTGCAGTTAGAAGATATTGTGAGGAGTCAGAAGTGGCTGAGCTACTCCTACAATCAAGGGCAAGATCACCTTAAAGACGCAAAATCAATCCTTAGAAGTTCAGAGCGCACCAGGCCATGTGCAGTGGATTCTAGGAGCTGGATCCCAAACTGGTCTTCCAGCGAGGCCCCCAGTTCCCCCTCGCCTCCCAGGTCTCTTCCTGCAGCATGCTCTAAACTCGAAGAAACATGCCCCCAGTACCTGATTTCTTTCTGATGGCTGTCGTAGTGAAGAACAGGAAGGAAGAGGGACCCGTTGCTGGATTTCTGTAGGGCATAGACTGAGTAATCCACCCACCTTTCTCCCTGGGAGTCCACCAACACTGGGCCGGTGACTCCTGAAAAGAAAGGAGACTGCAAGTGGTTAAGGAGAGAAAAAGAGGGACTCGTGACTCGAACTCAGATCAGCCAAGCCCCCTCCCTCCCCAGCAGCCACCAAAAGCAGTGTGAGGTTTTTGCCATTTCAGGGAATCAGAGGGAGTCAAGGAGGAGAGTGGTGGTACCTTGGTGTGGCTCAAGGGCCGCTCGGGACAGGCAGATGTGTTCCGTTAGGCCTATGCTTTTAAAAAAAGTTTCCAACTGAAACCCAAGATTTATGCTTCCTAAGAACAATCAGATGTGATCAAAAAAGGCCAAATAACATGGAGGCAGCTGCTGGGACTGGGGACAGCTGCCTCCTCCAGGTGCTACCATCCTCCTCCTCCCCACCTGCAGGCCCTGTGGGCTGACTTTTCAAGCTTTGTTCTCCCCTTTCCTCCCGGTTTTGGTTTGTGCCCAGGCATTGGCCTGGCGCTCAGTCCTGGTCCCTGTGTTCTTTGTTCTCACGTAGGATGTGGTCAACCTCATGCATAAAACACACATCCGAGATCCTGGAGGAGTCAAGTTCAGCTCTTCCACACCCCAAACTAGAGCCCGTGTTCTGACATAAGATTTACTGCTGATTTATTCTCCCTGGGGACAGGACACACAGTTACCATCTATTAAGCACCTATTATGTGCCGGCATATGGGGGTCGAAGTGATTTCACACACCTAGTCCCAGGGGACCCTGCAAAGCAGGGGCCCTCATCCACTCCTAACAAGCAGGGCTTGGAGGCAAGACCCCCTAGATAGGCTGCCATCATTGAATGAGCACATCCTGTAGTAAATTTGTGATCTTGGACAAGTACATAGCCTTTCTACCCCAGGTTTACTCACCTGTGTACCGTAATACAGGTATTAATAGTACTACTAACTGATGGTGTGTGTGAGGATTAAGTGGGATAGCAGGCAGAAGCTCTTGGCACCCAGCTTGCTTTAAGGTAAGCCCTCAATAAATGCTGGCTACTATTATTCCATGTGGCAGGAGGTATTATCTGTGTCTTACAAAATGAGAAAACGGGAGTACGGAAAGATGACACAGTTGATCAGCTCCCAGGGTGATTTCAAAACAGTTCACCTCCAAGTCCAAGCCTATCCTTGCCCTGACAAGGAGAGTCAGATGGGATTGGCCCCATCTTTAGAGGTGGAGGGATGGCATGGGAAGGAGCATGGAAGTAACCCCGAGGCAGGTCCCACTCTCTTGAGCTTTATTCTTGGTGGACCAGTTTGACAGCAGTTGTGGGAGGGACTCTCTGGGGAGGAGGAAGGGATAAGATGCCCCAGAGATCCCCTCAGCTGGACTGGGCAGCCTTTGTATAAAGCTGGAAGAGCTGGACTGTGGCCGCTGGGAGGTTTAACCTCAACCGCCCCCCACCCCACATACACCCCCACCCGCCTTCTGGAAGACTGAAATCTCCATGAGAAAGAGGAAATCGGTAACTCAGTGTGAGGCAGACCCTAAATGAGGCCTTAAACCACATGTTCAACCTCTCAGAGCCCCACTGACAGGAGAGGCAGGCCTGAGTTCTGACCCTCCCACCCTCCACCGCCAAAATCAAGCCACTTACCCTGCAATGTGGTCTGATTAAAACCTTTCAGAGTGCTGACCAGCTGCCGTCCATCCCGGAAATCTCTTCCGGCCCTGATCATGAATTTCACAGTCTGAGCATAGAGCAGGACCGAGTCATGAAGGTAGGCAGAGTAAGGGCTCACCTTCAAGGAGGGAAGCAAATATTGGGTTTAACTAGGCCCACTGCCTCCTGAGTCACAGCCCATGTCTCCATTGGAGGAATTTCTCTCCACCGTCTTAATAGTATAACACATTCTCCATCCATTCCACTGCAAGGGGTGGGCCCTCTGCATGCCTGAACTTGGGCTATTAAATATGGATATCACTACCTTCACTTTTCCTCTTTAGGCTCGTTTTCCCAATTAGATCACATGATCTCTTTAGGCCATAGGCAGGTGGGCATATGGTTTAATTGAAAGCAGGTAGATTTTGGAGCGAGACTGGCTTTTCTACTTACTGGCTATGAAATTTGGGGTAAGTTTCATAACCTCTCTGAATCTCATCTCTCTTATTTATAAAATGGGGATAAAGCCACTGTCCTGGTGAGTAGAAGCACAGTTTAATGAGGCAGGGTAGATATTCTACTTATTGTGCTACCTGGCACATAGTAGGTCTTTAATACATGTTCTTGTCTGTTCATTTAGCCAACAAACATGCAACTGCCCACTATAAGGTAGGTACAAAACTGACACTTAATAGACAATTTCCCAAATATTCATTGATTGATCAGCTTTCCTGGTGTGTTAGGATCCACAATCGTCCACCTTGTTCCTTATGGAACCCCTGTCATCAGTGACCTGTCACAGGAAGTAGCTCCAGCTCTGGCCCATGGTCTCTCTGTAACACATTCTCTGTGGGCATCAGACATTTGCCTCATCAGCCAACACACACTGGACTACCCATTGGCTGATCCTCTCTCTCCTGACTTCTCCCTGTTCCAGACCATCTGATTGCCTTGACCTGTGCTAGCTCCACATTTCTGACTGCTCCATTCAGGTTCTCAGTCCTGGGAAAGGGAAGGACATTGTCATGGTCTGAGTACCACTGCTTTCTATTCTATTACTTCTATGTGCTACATTATTAGATACTCAAAACCAAGCCTGGAGGCGGATGTCATTATCAGTTCCACTTTTCACGTGAAGAGACTGAGGTGTAGGGAGGTTAAGAAATTCACCTCAAGGTCCCACTGCCAGTAAATAGTAGCATTAGGATGGAGCCCAGATCTCTGACTCCAAAAGCCATTCAGTAACCCAATAACCTCTGTCCTCCTCTGTAGTCCTGGGGTGCAGACTTCATAAGACAGCGCTGTTTATGCTCAGCTGTGGAGGATGAGGAAGTATGTGGGGGGAAGGCAGCAGGGACGGGGGTAAAGAAGAGGAGAAGTAAGAGGAAGAATATTAAGGCCAAACAAAAATATCCTCAGAAAAGGGAAGGCTGGGACCTGTGCAGGGAGACCCTATCTCAGACCTGCCCCTCTGCAGAGATGGAGCTGTGGAAAGGTGGTCCCCTCAGCCTCTGGTAGACTTCTTGTCGGAAGCCTTCCTCTCCAGGACCTTCTCCGGAAGAGCTGGGGATGATGACAAGCACAGACTCATAGATGGTGGGGAAGTGTGTCCCATTCTGATTGGTTAATACCTCCTTCCAAAAACTGTCCTGCAATATAATGAAATCAGTGTAGTCATTCCGTAGGGTATACACTGAGCATAGAAATGTGTTAAGTCATGGTTGAAATTGAATCTCTACATCCTAATCCTGGGCAACACAATGACTCCAGAAGGCCTGCCTTCAAAGGCCCACATTTTCTAGCTGGCATCAAAGCAGTGAGAAGAAAGCCAATAAGTGAAATAAAAATAAATAAATAAATATCAAGTGTACATGGAACATTCTCTAGAATAGACCACATGTTAGAACAAAAAACAAGTCAAAATTGCCCAGCTGGTATGGCTCAGTGGTTGAGCATCGACCCATGAACCAGGAGGTCACAGTTCCATTCTCAGTCAGGGCACATGCCTGGGTTGAAGGCTCAATCCCCAGTGAGGGGTATGCAGCCAATCGATGATTCTCTCTCATCATTGATGTCTCTCTCCCTCTCCCTCTGTAAAATCAATAAAATATACATATTTTTAAAAAGTCAAAATTAATTTAAGAAGAAATCATATCAAGCATCTTCTCTGATCACAATGATATGAAACTAGAAACCAATTACAAGAAAAAAAAAACATCCTGAAAAACACACAAACACATGGAAGCTAAATAACATGTTACTAAACAATGAATGAGTTAGCAATGAGATCAAGGAAGAAATCAAAAGATACTTTGAGGAACATGAACATGAAAACACAACAAACCAACATCTATGGTACAGTAAAAGCAGTCTTAACAGGAAAATTCATAGCAATACAGGACTACCTCAAGAAACAAGAAAAATCTCAAATAAACATTCTAACTTTATACATAAAGGAACTAGAAAAGGAACAACAAAGCCTAAAATGAGTAGAAAAAATAATAATAAAGATCAGAGCAAAAATAAACAGAGTTTAAAAGAACAATACAAAAGATTGATGAAACCAAGAGCTGATTTTTTAAAAAAGATAAACAAGATTGGAAAGTCTTTAACCAGACTCACCAAAAAGAAAGAAAAAAAGAGGACCCAAATAAATAAAATCATAAATGAAAGAAGAGAAATGACGCTGACACTATAAAATTTATAAAGAATTCATACAACTCAACACCAACCCCCCTCCCAAAAAAAATCCAATTCCAATTAAAAAGTGGGAAAAAGACCTGAAGAGATACTTTTTCAAAGAGAACATACAGATGTCCAATAGCCATATGAAAAGATACTCAACATCACTAAATCATCAGAGAAATGCAAATTAAAACTACAATGAGATATCACCTCGCACCTATAAGAATGGCTATCATCAACATTTTCACAAATGCTAATTGTTGGCAAGGATGTGGAGAAAAGGAAACCCTCATGCACTGTTGGTGGGAATGCAGACTGGTGCAGCCACTGTGGAAAACAATATGGAGATTTCTAAAAAAATTAAAAATTATGAGCCAGCAATTCCACTTCTGAGTATATATTTGAAGAAATCCAAACCATAATTTGAAAAGATATATGCACCCCTATGTTATTATTTACAGTAGTCAAGATATGAAAGCAACCTAAGTACCCATTAATAGACAAGTTGATAAAAAAGTAATGGTACATGTATACAATGGACAATTACTGGGCCATAAAAAAAATAATGAAATCTTACTATTTGTGAAAATATGGATGGACCTAGAGGGTACTATGCTAAATGAAATCAGTGAGACAGAGATAGACAAATACCATATGATTTCACTTATATATGAAATCTAAAGAACAAAATAAATGAACAAACAAAACATAAACATACTCATAGGTACAGAAAACAGACTGATGGTTGCCAGATGGGAGGTGGGGCTGGATGGAAAAGGTAAAGGGATTAAGAAGTACAAATTGGTAGTTACAAAATAATCATGGGGATGTAAAATACAGCATAGGGAACATAATCAATAATATTGTACTAACTATGTATAGTGCTAGGTGGGTACTAGAATTATCAGGGGGATCACTTTGTAAATTATATAATTGTCTGACTTTTATGCCATACATCTGAAACTAATCCTATATAATAAAAGGCTAATATGCAAATCGACCAAGCGGTGGAATGACCGGTCACTATGACGTGCACTGACCACCAGGGGGCAGACGCTTACCACAGCAGCTGCCCCCTGATGGTCAGTGCACTCCCACAGGGGGAGCACCACTCAGTCAGAAGCCCTAAGCCAGGCTCACGGCTGGCCAGTGAGTGACGGTGGCAGGAGCCTCTCCTGCCTCCGTGACAGTGCTAAGGATGTCCAACTGCCATCAGTTGGACATCCCCTGAAGGCTCCTGAACTGCAAGAGGGTGCAGGCCGGGCTGATGGACACCCCCCATCCCCCCCGAGTGCACAAATTTCATGCACCAGGCTTCTAGTATAAAATAATATTGAATGTCAACTGTAATTAAAAAGTAAAATTAAAAAGAGAAAAGAAATCTGGAACATTGTGATATATCTTCCTTTATTCTTTTGCTCAATTTCAACTTCTTAGGATCATTTTTAAAAGCTCATTTTAGGAAGATAAAACAGCTGGAAAATTACACAGTGTGTCCATATCTAAATGCAAGTGGCTTTTGCCAGAAGCCTGCTAGTGTAGAGTGGTGTTTAAATGTACAGACTCTGAGGCCAGCCCCCGGGGTTTGAATACCAGCTCTCCCTCTTACTAGTCATGTGGCCTTGGGCAAGTTATTTTACCTCTCAGGGCCCCGGTTTCCTCATCTGTAAAACACGGAAAATAAAAGTATCTCCCCACAGAGTGGTATCAGCTGACGTGAGTTTTAGCATCACAAGTGCCCAAAGGGCTCTGTCCCAGAGTCCAGAAGACCTGGTTTGGAAGACCAGCTATGCTCCTCAGGAGCTCTGAGATCTTGAATAAAGTATCTTACTTCTCTAAACCTCAATATTTTATCTGTAATTTGGAATACTGGTAAGATCTACCTTACAAGGCTCTTGGGAATATTAAGTGCAACAGTGCATGTAAAATGTGTAACTCATTCCTCACGGGAGGCACATGGTACATTTTAGCCATTCCTATCATGACCAAAAGAACCAAATCACCCAAGAATGGCCTCACCCACCAGTATGTTGGTCTCTCCAGACCTTTCTTAGGACTCCCAACAGGGACACAGGGAGGTGGCCATGAAGAGTGGGAGCCACCTATATTTGAGAGTCCTTAGGGGAGGTCTCATGCTAAGAGTGACAATTCCTTCTCAGCTGGTGTGGGCTGACAGTCTACCGAGGCCTGGATCAACCACTCACTAAGTGGGCAAGAGAACTCTGGGTAAGTTCTTCCAGCTCAGGCTCAGTCTCCCAACTTTAGGACGAGGGCACAACAGTGCCTGCCTCTTAGGGTTGTGGTGAGTCTTCAGTGAGCTAACACATCTGGCACATAGCCAGCGCTCCATACTTGTTACCTCTTGCAGGAGCCATTCGGGGGTCATTGGCACCCACCTCCAACTGCTGCAAAACGACGAAGACAAATTCTCCTGTGTGGAGTCCCAGGTTCTCTGCAGCCAGCAGAATGGTTTTCACATCCTCTGAGCTGCAGATTAAGATAATAACTATAAGAGGAAAAAAACACAGAGTTAGCCAATTGCACATGATCATATGCTTCTTAAACTCTGGCCTGAAACTGCTCCCAATGAGACATGAACTTTTTCTTTCCCTGAGCATGCTTTGAGAAAGAGGATGTCGGAACTATCTCCAGAATATAGCACCAGCAGCGTACCCACTGGCACATTTACTCTATGAACTAATGTCTTAGCTGCAGTTCTCTCCAAAAATACAAGTCAAAAAGGTTAAGACCACTTCTATGCTCCCATTTCTCTGTTTCATTGGCTCTGAACAATAGATCTGGCTTGTTAATCACCAGCCACACAGGAGGAGTTGAAGGAGGACCTAGAATCAGGAGCACCCAGACGTTCTAGTTGGAATGGGGGGAGGGGAAGAGAGAGGCCATGGTACTTTTCTTCCATTCAAACACATCAGCATGCATTGTAAGGACACACAAATGAAATAAATGAGGTAAATTATAATGTACTTATCTGAGCTCCAACCATGTGCCAAGCACTGTGTTAACTAAGGACAGGATATAGTGATGAGCAAGGCAGAAGGCCCCTGTCCTCAGGGAGCTGACAGTCAGGCAGACAGTATACCAGTGAATCATGGGGGGATGAGGGGGGGTAACAGGGCTATAGGTGGCACTGCAGGCCAAGATCAACAAGTCTTAAAGTGCCAAGGCTAGAAAGGCTTAGTTTATTAAAGAACAGAAAGGAGTCATGTACTAATCCAGCTAGAAAATAGAGCCTTATGCCCGGCCATTGTGGCTCAGTGGTTGAGCATTGACCCACAGTTCAATTCCCAGTCAGGAGACATGCCCAGGTTGTGGACTCAATCCCCAGTAGGGAGCATGCAGGAGGCAGCCTATTGATGATTCTCTCTTATCATTGATGTTCCTATCTCTCTCTCCTTCCCCCTTCCTCTCTGAAATCAATAAAAACATTTTTTAAAAAGAGAAAATAGAGCCTTATAAACACCACAACAAAAGTAATTGATATCATATGTTGCCCAGTTACTATGTCCAGACACAGTGCTAAGGACTATACAGGCATGACCTTATGCAATCCTTACTTTCCTATGAGGTAGGAGTTGATGACTATCTTCATTTTCCAGATAAGGTATCTGAGGCCTAGAGAGGTAAAGGTATTTTTCCAGGATCACACAGTTAGAAAGTATTAGAGGTTGGTTCCAAACTTAGGCTGTCTTTCCCCAGAGCCCATGCTCTGAACAATGGCCCAAGTCCAGGACCCAACCCACCTGGAAGATGCTTCCAGAGCTTAGTCATCTATAATAATAAATAATAATAATATAATAATAATATGCTAATTATACCGTACGTCATTCTGGATGTCGTTCCTGACGAAGCTGGGCCAGAGGGAAGCAGCCCGGGTCCCGGGTGCCGGAGGGAAGCCGGTGCTGGCAGCTGGGAGAAGGAAGGCCTACTCTTGCACAAATTTTTGTGCATTGGGCCTCTAGTTGAATCAAAACACTATAGCATATGGGATTTCACTTTAGATTAAAAATAGTTGGTGATAGTGATGTTGACCCAAAAGGAAAATTGTTTTTATGTATGATTATCTTTGTACCCTGTTTCTATCTGCTTTTTACACCCAAAGAAAAATAAAGGGTTTCTATCTGCTCTTTCTCTTTGTCTCTCCAAACATAAGCAATAG